TAACACCACAGCTTTCTCACAAATAGCATATATATATATATATATATATATATATATATATATATATATATGCACATAAGCATCCACAAAGATGCACACATGATCTATAGACTAATCCCATACAAGTGCACAACCAATTCATCAACTAATGAGAAATTTCGAAAATTGTAGACCTTTGAAATGAATGTTTTTTGTTTGTTTTGCAAATTGTCTTTGCATAATTTGACTAAAATACAGCTTGATTGAAAACAATGTACAGTATTAAATAAAAAGTGTCATTTTCTTATCTTGATTTTTCTTTTCTGTCTCATATTTAATTGTATACAACAGTTAGTTCCTGTTTTCAAATTTGATTGGCTGAGTGGCATTCCAAGAACCCATGATGTTTAAAAAAGCACTTGACTTTGTGGGTTCCAGACAGACTGTCAGTCTGTGCATTTTTGACCCTTTCGTCATTATGTCAGTAGGTAGCGACAAGCGACTTTCTTTATGAACGAGTCATTGAATCATTCATTAAAACAATTTGTTCTAAACACTAATTAATTCACAAACCAATGCACCCATTCCGTGTTGCTCTGAGATGCGTAGCAGTTAATTCTACTTTGACTTGGTTTGGCAGTAATGGAAGTATTGGTTTGGAAGTAAGAGGCAATATATTATTTAAAACCTAAGTTAGTATAACTTCTCGTTTATTGAACTGTTTTATGAAACATTACCATACTTGCAATCATGCTGTTGATCTGAATATCAGAACTGTGATTTCTTACTACCTTGTGCCTGTGGTAGATTTATATTTGGCACCCTTTTGTTGTAGTTTGTGTAAGTAATTTAATAAGTAAGTAATATTGAATTGAATATTGAAACAAACAAACAAACAACCACAACAAAACTTCTGTTAGTTAGAAATCCTCACTTTTAATAAAATGCTTGTAATTGAATCTTATCATGTTTACTGCAGCTGGATATAATAACTAATGTTAAAATTATTAAAAAGACATTAACTTACAGGTAGGCTGCAACAACTGTGAGTCTGATAATAGTCATGTTATTTTTAAGTTGTACATGTTACAGTTCCAGGGACTCATCGGATCATGTCACATCATTTCAGAAGGGGGGGTTGGTTGTGAGGTTGCTGTGACTCTGTGAGACTGACCCTTACCCCACCAGAGACGGCCAGAATGTACACTTGCAACGCGAGTCACGGTTTCCACATGCTTCAGAGAAGATGACATAAACATTCATACCAGATGACAGCGGCTGTGTGTGTTCTTAGTCAATTGTTTATCTAGAGATAGTGATTCAGTTGTGTAACATTTGAATGGCTGAAGATGAAAAGTGGCCTGCACAGCTATGCAATGTTCCATGTTAAATCCCATATACCATAATACAAGCATGATGGGTAATATTTCAGTTAAACTCAGCTCAAAGGTTGAGTTTACCGTGGATTCCTTTCCAAATGATTTGTGATTGAAAGATATGTACGGGGGACATTGATGTGGATTGGAATATAATTTAAATATAAAGTATCATGTGTGAATTTAACTGAAAGCTGCAGTCATGTTTGTGGACGGTCATAACCTCAGGATCCACAGAAACATGACACATGCTGTGGTTGCTGTAAACATTTCGAGTGACACATTGATCCCTTATTAACAGAATGATTAATGGTACATGCTGTTAACTTGTTTCATAACATGCCTTAAGGACATGCCTCGCAGGTAATTAATGCACCCATCCTGCTCTACAGAGTATGATGCCATGAAGATGCGTTGTCATAGAAACGGAATTTATCAAAATATTACTATTAATAAATTCAGTTTGTGTAGGCATGAACAACTGACATTTGTGAACTGCAATGTCAATATACAAACATTATTTGAGCAAGGACCTCTTGCATTATTTGGGAAACACTTGGAACAACCTCATACAATACAGCAAATATGAGGTTTAGTGCCCTCTGTTGGACATATTTAATACACAAGGCAGCTCATACAATCTTTAGTGCCCTCTGTTGGACATATCTAATACACAAGGCAGCTCATATAATAAAATATTATAAAGAACACCTTTGATTTCTGAGCCAGTTAAATCATAACCTTCAGCTCTAATAAAATCGTTTCATCACTTTTTAACTTGTAAAAAATAAATTTTCTATAATTACTGTGTAATTTAGGTAATAGTCATTTCTGTCTACAAGAAAACAATCAGTAGTAATGGAAAATTGCTGATTGAGATTAGCATAAATGAATCATAACAGTTAAGTGGCAGGTATTTAAAGCTTTGTGTCTTTATAGCAC